ACACACACACACACACACACACACACACACACACACACGTGCACACATGCATCTATGTATATTAGCACGTACCTAACCTCCCTGTCGATAGTAATCGCTAGGAAATTCTCCGTCTGCATCGGCATCGACACGCTTAGTGCGGGCTGCTGCTCGCGCGAATTCAGCGTGAACAAATTACCAAGATCTGTACCGCCGCCCAATTTCATCTTGAAGCACAGCGTGAAATCGGGGTATATGCCTTTCTTGATGGATCTCGAAGTAATTCGCGAGTAGGTTAGCGGTCCGCCCATATAGGCAAGGTCGTATACGCGCGGGTCGAGCGTGGCGCAAGGCACCGTCTCTGCAACAAGAGAGAGAAAGAGAGAGCAAGGAAGAGAGGGAGTTCTCTCGCCACACAAATTAAGGTATCACGCGTACATACAAGTCAGCCAATTGACGCTGAGATAGATCAAGTAAAGCTGGGTTTACACTACCGACTTTATGTTGGCGAATTGGCGAGTTGGACCTATTTCGCCATTCGCCAACTTCGAGTTGGCGATAATAGAACATGTTCTAATCTCCCAACTAGTTGCTATCGATCGGTTGGCCGCGCAACTTTTGCGTTTACACTGCCGATTGTCGATTGTATAGTTGGGTAGTTGGTCCAATTCGCCAATTCGGCAACACAAAGTTGGCAGTGTAAACCCAGCTTAATTAGATGCTTTTGCTGAGTATCCACGCGCTTCATTTTTTTTATTTCCCGATGAAAAAGGGGTAGAACTCTTACAAATGTTCTAAAACTAGAATCCTCGCTTTGCTCGCGAGCGTGCAATCTTGTGGTAGCCGGGTTTTTTTTGTCGGAGCCTTCTTTTTGGTGTAAAATTGCGTTGAGAAATGACCATTTTAAGTGTGTGCAAGGAAGTATATTTACAGAAACTACGGAAAAATTTTCGAGTTAACAACACATGTGTATCTTGTAACGTCAATTCAGAGGGTGGAATTGTGTTTTCTCCAAAAAGCTTTTTTTAAGGGAATTATTTGGCATGTATAGCCATCTTTGAAACTACCGC